ATTGCTATCGTGTATCGTGGACACCCAATGCTGACGTGACATATAAATTTTGGAGGTATTTAGATAATCATTTATAAGTTGAAGTATTCAACTGACACAATGTGCGATAAATTAAGATATCAGTGCATATTCGAAACTAAAATATTTAATTGTTAATTAAAATTAAATATAGATATATATTATACCCATATATATTTTAAGCCAAAGTCAATTTGACTCATAACTTGTATACAAAATCTTCCCGATGAATTCAAGATTCTTGTTCATGAATAGATAATATCGATATATTCATTATTATAAGCTAAATTTTGCATATAATGCATAGTAAAACACAAGAAACTTAGGTGATTTAATTTCTTTTAAAGATCACAATATTCCCTAGTTTTAGATCGTGGCATTTATTTCATAACCCAAATTGACATTTACTTTGTAAAAGCATTTTTTTTCCTTCACATATAGTGTCAAATAAAATATTTTAGATTGTCTTCATCACTAATTATATTGTACTTATTTTTTTTTCTAGTTTTTTTCTTTTGATAATAAGATTTATGAAGAATGACTTTTTGATCCGTTTCGTCTAGTAATTAAGACTACGTAGACATCGACATTGTAAAAGCATATTCCATAATGGTTCTTTGTTTCTATAATTTTAACAAGAAGACAATAATTAATAAACTAGTATCCAAATTTATTATGTGGTCAAACTATGTTATTTGGAAATTCCCAATTACGTGGAGTAACCGTTTGAGAAAGAAACAAATTAAAAGCATGCATACTCTATGACCTTAGCTTGGTCGGCATTAATCAATATTAATCTCTTTATTTTATATGTAATTTTGTTATCAATCCTTTAATCATGAGAATAACTTCTACATTATGATGTAACTAGTAGTCCTTCATATATTTCATTTTATGTAATACGTTTATATATATAGTTTATGGTACTAATTGTCCCTTTTTTTTTTTTACCGATCTTAAATCCATATGAATTTGTCTTTTGGCTTATGCTGCATTTTTCGAACTATAAAGTGTACGTACATATCATGTGAACTTATATGGTGCCTAATGGAATTTTTCACTTCCCTCTTCTAATTTGTATGTCTAAAATGGGATTCGCTTAATTAAAGTCACGTGTAGATCTTTTTTAGAAGCTTGTCAGCCTAAACATATTTTTCCTTCTTAACCCATCCTCACTCGGCCACCCTCTGTTACGGAGCGCGTCACGTTCTGGCTCTTATATCATATTTGTCATATCCCGAATTCATGGAACATATCGTTTTCTTTGGGCCTATGCCCGCATGAATTTGTCTTTTGTGCTATGTCACATTGAGCCCCAAAAGGCAAAAATGTATGTATCATATGGATTTGTATTATGCTTTATATATAAAACTCTCATCTTTTCTGTCTCATTTCGATGTGTGATTCGTCTAAGATGTCATGTGCACCTCATCTTAAGAAAACTTGTTATTCTAGAAGTCTGTCAATCATGCTTGACTCGGCCTTTCATCGGGGATCACAATTTGTTTAACAAAGACATTATACTGTATTTGAAAAGTATTTAACTTTAAATTTTGTTTTATTTAAATGACAAGCTTTTTATATATAGCCTAGAAAATTTAATATATAGCATATCTAACTATAGACAAAGAGTGCTAGAATTTTAAATTAATGAATAATAATTTTTTTTAAAAAAGTTATGATTCAATTAAACTCGTATGTCCACTCATCCACACCTATCGAGTTCATATAAACTTAATACATTTAATTAATTAATTAATTAATTACCTCTTTCCTCCGCCTATCTCATCACGATATTTGAATTATTCAATCATCATCCTCATATAAATTATTGAAAACAACTTGTCCTTTTGGATAGTCTCTAATTTCCCCCCTACTTATTTGCTTAAATCAATTATTCATGTTTTTTCCAAAATTTCAACAATTTCCCTCTAAATTCCACACAATCAACATAAATTCATGCACAATATCGGGTTCATGATTTAGACACGTGTCAACTTACGAAAGGGATGTGAAAATATTTTTTTACAATAACCGTAGAGAAGTATTGAAAACATCCTTGAACTTACATATGAATTATTAGTTTCATTTCCGAATTATTAACAGCCTTAAAAACATTCATCTTACTTGACTAACTCAACTTAAATATACCCCGAATCATCCACATCGCATAGCAAGTGGTCTCAAACTCTTGTAAGAGTGTAAAACTCTTATATATATATATATATATATATATTGAACGGTCTATATATGCCAAAAAAACTTTTGCTCCATCCATTTTAATTTATTTGATTTAATTTAAAATACGAGGATCATACTAATTATTATTTGATATGAATATGAACATAAATTTTAAAATTTTTTCAAAATAAAATTTACATATTTTAAAATTACCTAAAAGATGCTATTAAAAATTCATAATATTTTGAAAAATTATAGTATAAATATTCTTTGACCATTAAAATAGTACTCCCTCCGTCCCATAATAACTGATCACTTTCCATTTTGCACGATACTTAAGAAATCATAAATAAAATGATCAATTTGACCAATTTACTCTTCATTCATATTGATGGATATCAAAATAATTTATGATGATACAAAAGGTATAAATACTCAAAAGCGAGTGAGAACAAAAGTACTAAGGGAGTAATTAAGTATTTAATGAACTCTTTGAAAAAATAAATTTTAGGAACTTTAATTTTTTTAAGCTTCCAAATAGAAATTACGGGAACATTAAGCATGATGATGATATTAATTATAAGGATAAAATAGAAAAAAATTGATTAGTTTTATCTTAATTTAATAAGTGATCAAATAATTTGGGACAAATACAAAAAGGTGATCAGTTAAGAAAATCATCAATTAATATGGAACAAAGAAATAACAAAACGAAAGTTGAGGATAACTCTTTTTTTGACCTATATTCCTGATTAGGAATAAAGACAACCAAATTAAAATAAAGGAATTACAACATTTAATGTAACATGCTATAAAGAAATTTAAGAAAACCTTAACCAATCAAGTAACAAATGCATGAAGAAAAAAGCTAAGTTTATTGATTGAGACTATGCCAGGAATATGGACAAAAAGTCAAAAAGCGTTGAACATATTAATACTATAAAACAAATAAGATTTATTTTATAAATTTATAAAAGAATTTCATAAATATAATCGTATTTTAACCTATTAATAACAACAAATTATTCCTTCGTAAAACATATATAAGTGAAAGTCGAAAAATATGAATTCAAGTTTATTAATAAATCATCTCAGGCTAACGTTATACAAATAAAAAAATAATTAAATTTTGAAAATTACTTATTAAAGTTCTTTATATTTTAAATATAAATACATTAATATGATTAAAAATGTATTTTCAATTAATTGGTATTACCTGTATATATAGATCACTAATTTTTCATTGATTTTATATTATTGTTCATCTTTCAAAACAACTTTCTGCGATTAACATCTTCATTCACCATGATTTCATACATTTGGACCGATCGATATAGCTAGAGGTCCACACAAGACATGACCACACTTATAACCTCAAGGAACAACTTTCCCTAATTTATTTATTGACATATGCAACTTGTACTTTTTAGTGGATGTGACTACATAATCTTATCTAACCGTTGAAACAGATAATACATATATATATATATATATATATATATATATATATATATATATATATATATATATATAGATCACTAATTTTTCATTGATTTTATATTATTGTTCATCTTTCATAACAACTTTCTGCGATTAACATCTTCATTCACCATGATTTCATACATTTGGACCGATCGATATAGCTAGAGGTCCACACAAGACATGACCACACTTATAACCTCAAGGAACAACTTTCCCTAATTTATTTATTGACATATGCAACTTGTACTTTTTAGTGGATGTAACTAGATAATCTTATCTAACCGTTGAAACAGATAATACATATATATATATATATAGATCACTAATTTTTCATTGATTTTATATTATTGTTCATCTTTCATAACAACTTTCTGCGATTAACATCTTCATTCACCATGATTTCATACATTTGGACCGATCGATATAGCTAGAGGTCCACACAAGACATGACCACACTTATAACCTCAAGGAACAACTTTCCCTAATTTATTTATTGACATATGCAATTCGTACTTTTTAGTGGATGTGACTAGATAATCTTATCTAACCGTTGAAACAGAAAATACATGTATATATTTCTTATTTTCTAAATTACTAGTCATATTCTTATATGAACAATCATCGATCCATAATTATTAACGTAAACAACTCGTAACTATAAAAAAAATCATTTGACACTATTGATTTATAGAAGATAAGGTGATTGAGGGATAGCTCGATGCACACATTAAAGCATCCTACATTCACGCATGATTCAGAACCTCAAATTAAATAATATTAGGGGGTGGGGTGGGGTGAGGGGGACCAGTGCACCGTCCATGAGCACAGCAAAACCAAAAACAAAACAAAATATGCAAAAACTCCACCAGATCTAAAATCTAAATCTTCCTCTTTTTCTCACAAGCTAGTTATTAGCTAACCCTAACTCAACTCCTCCTTATATTCTCTTCTACAAAACTAAGCAAACAAAGTGTTTTTTTTTTTTTTGAATTCAATAAAATCATTACATTTTTTATCTTTTCAAATCATTACATCCTTTCCCTTTCTTGTACTTTCATTTTCTTTAATTTGTTTCTCCAAACTTTAGTGTTTTCTCTCTCTTTCACTCTTTCCATCAATCTACATCCCCAAAATCAAGTACAGATTATCAGACGCAGATTCAGAATTTAGAGTCAACTGGTCAAAGTAGTTAGATGGATGTGATCTATTAGACATATTTTCATTTTCATTTTCTCTCTCTCGATAGTGGTTCAGTTGAATTTATTGTTGAACCTGTTCTAGATCTGCCTCTCTGAGAATTAATTATACGAAAAAAGACTATGGATCCATCGAACAATTCTCTACCCCCTCCTTTCCACACGAGAAATTTCAACTTACAACATCATAACAACCACCACCACCACCAACAACAACAACTTCAGTTCCAACATAGCTCGGAAGACGAGCAAAGTGGAACAAGTGGCCTAAACATGTCCGGGCAAAAGAGAGATCGCGAAGAGAACAACAACAACAACAACAACAACAACAACAACAACAACAACGACAACTACAATGATTCAAATGTTGATGAATCAACGGATGAATTAGGCGTTAACGGAAGCCATAGAGATGGAGAGTTTAATAGAAGGCCTAGAGGTAGACCTGCTGGATCCAAAAATAAGCCAAAAGCACCTATCATCATCACTAGAGATAGTGCAAATGCCCTTAGAACTCATGTTATGGAAATTGCTGATGGTTGTGATATTATGGAAAGTGTTTCAAATTTTTCAAGAAGACGTCAAAGAGGAGTTTGTATCATGAGTGGAACAGGAAATGTTACAAATGTAAACTTAAGACAACCAGCTTCACCAGGTACAATTTTTTTAAAATATTTTTCTTGATTTTTCTTTTTTTATGACTGTCTTTGTAATGTTACCTTCTTCTTTTTTTGGGCTTATCAGGTGCGATTGCAACCCTACATGGACGTTTTGAGATATTATCGTTAGCAGGATCATTTCTCCCACCACCAGCTCCGCCAGCTGCTTCAGGGTTGACTATATATTTAGCTGGCGGACAAGGTCAGGTGGTGGGAGGTTGTGTGGTAGGGTCCCTTATGGCATCTGGTCCGGTTGTTATTATGGCGGCTTCGTTTAGCAATGCAGCTTATGAAAGACTTCCTTTAGATGAGGATGATTCGAACCAACTTCCGGTTCAAGGAGGTTCACTAGGTTCTCCTGGAGCGACAATCGCTCCAGGAGGACAACAACAACAACAATTATTAGCTGACCCTTCACTATTTCATGGAATGCCACCAAATCTTCTCAATAATGTTCAATTACCTTCTGAGGCATATTGGGCAACGGGTCGACCTCCATTCTAACTAGATGAGATTCGTACAAGGGCCGGGTAATAATTTTCTCTAATTAACTTGTTTAAGGTCGCGACCCTCCAGTATTGGATCATATATGTTCATGATCCAAAATTTGAGGGTTGTGACCTTTAATTAGTTGAAATTATCTCCATTTAGTTTACAAGAATTCTTAGGAATGTGTTGTTGTTGGTCATTTTATTAAGTTCTTCATAATTGTTAATTTAATTAGTCACATTACACTTTAATTTAGGCTTTTCTATTGTGAGTTTGACTATGATCAAATGATATGAAATGTTTGTCATTAATTTGATCAATTGAATGATGTAAACTTATTAGTTTCTTGGTGAGTTGCATCTTCATGAAATTAGTTTATAATAATGAATTTCAACTATTCTCTAACCAAGACAACCAAAAAAAAATCATATCATTATTTATGAAATCCATCATTGTGTGAGATTCATTTAATACATTAATATTCCATAATCATGATAATTGAGTTCTACTAATGACCATGTTTTTTAGTACTTGGCAATTATAGTACTCCCTTCATCCCAATGTATGTGTTTGGCATAGAGATAAACAAATTTATTTTTATCATAATCTTTTCGTGATTCATTTTAGGCCTTTTAACTTGTTTAATGTGACTTATAAATTATAATGCCTTTTAAATTGTTTTATGTTCAAACTTATAGTCAAAGTTAAGAAATTTAACTCCCAAAATTTTGAATGGTGACAAATAAATTGGGACTTCACTACTTTATTTTCTTTTCAAATCTACTTTGATATGCTTTATTTGAGCCGATAGTCAATCTAAAAGTCTTTCTACCCCACAAAGATAGCATACACATGATTTACCCTTTCAGATCTCACTTATGAGATTACACACTGGTGATTGAATATGTTGTTGCTGACACATAAATTGAGACTGAGAGAGTAGTAAAGTATTTGAATAAGCTTATTTTCCAACATTATTTTTCACTTTAGAGTATCTTTTTTACTTCTTCAAAATCTTTTATTTTTTGTTAATAAAAATAGTTATAAAAAAATTTAGGGTTTTATATAATAGGGAGACATGAGTCTGAATATGGACAGTGGTTTGCACGTGCACAGTTACTGAAGAGGTTCTTTCTCGAGGCAAAACCATTTGTAACGTTTTAGCAGCTCTGCTCTGACTGATTGTCTTTTTTTTTTTTTAAATAAAATATTTCTTTAATATATTTGAGTCCTAGTTAACTAACAGTTCAAAATTCCATAAATAAAGAATATTATATAATTTTTGTTTTTTTTTCTTAAATTTTTACTTCACTTAAATATATCCGTTGAAAAATTCGAGAGTGGATATCTACAAGGTGAAGTTAGAGTTTTAACCGTGGGTTCAACTTAATTTCTTCGATAAAATTTTATACTTGTGTTAAAAGCTCCATTTAATATGTATTATACTTTATTCGTTCATTTTTACTTGTCACTTTTGACAATACAAGAAAAGAATTATTTTATTATAAAATTACATTATATATGTCTTTTAAAATAAAAATTATACCTCTATCAATCAGAGTCGTTTGAATGGCTAGAATTCCAATGTGTTTATTTCTTGAAATCTTAATTATAAAAGTGAGACACATCTCCATATTCTTTGCACCAAAACAAGCAAGCGTGCACCTAGATCTCCCCCATACATATAAACTAGACACCCCTTCCCCTATATATATTGCTTGCTTTTTATGCAACACACCATGTAACCTTAACCTTATCTACATACATGTGGTAATGCAATAGATATCTATTTATCTGTTGGGTTAAAGGTGAATTGGGGCGTCATGTGGAAGCTTATAATTTGCAAATCATATGAGGATAAATTAGACGACACATAAAACTATATTAAAAGACATAATATTATTATTATATGATATGACCAATTGACCTACATAATTAAAAACTAATACAAAACATAAAAACTGTAGAGAGAAAATCTCCCATAAACAAAACTCTTAAATGTCTACATTGTGAATGCTATTGTGTTATTGTTAGAAGAAACAAACCTACATTTATAGAGTCTTAAAACCTTTCCTACTAGAAAAGAACTAGCTACTCCAAAACCTTTTCCTAAAAGGAAAGAATAAACCAAATATGAAAGAATATTATATTTTCCTTTCAAGAAAAGTAAAAATATTTATGGTAATGTTTTGTCTTTTCTTTTAGGAAAATATAAACTTCAAATAAGGTAAGAAAATCAGGGTAAAACCCTAACAATATCTATATTCTATATTACCTTAAAAGCATGAACTCCTAACTTGAATGCTAAATTACTATAATATCCCTAACTTAAGTTGTGAATTTTTCGATGAGTTGTGATTTTTTCAAAAAAGTTGTGACTTTTTCAAAGGGTTGTGATTTCTCGAAAAGGTCATGACTTTTCAGATAAGACACTAAAGTAATATTTGTTCATATGAGTTGTGACTTTTCTGATAAGTTGTGATTTTTCTCAAAGGGTTGTGATTTTTCGATGAGTTGTGACTTTTCCAAAGAATTATGACTTTTTCAATAAGTTGTGACTTTTCCAAAGGGTTGTGATTTCTCGGAAAGGTCATGACTTTTCAGGCACAAAAACATTTGTTCATACTACCCTTTGTTGACTATAAATAGAGGGGCTTCCTCTCATTTTTCAACCACAATTATTTTTAATCTTCTACTCTTCTTTTTCTTGTATTTTAAACGTTTTGTATGATTTATTGTCAGAGTGAGTTAAAAGTTTAGCGGAATATGAGGTATCACTATTCTGATGAAGTAAATCGTTCTATTTCTATAACCTCACGTGCTTGAGAAAAATAATTTTGATGATATAATATTTTTTTTTTCTTAAGATATACATTAGTATGTAATATTTCAATATATGAAGTTAACATGATGTAGTCTCTATTCATTTGTTTTTGTTAACAATTTCTCTTGTGATGTAGGTATATGCTTCTGAATATCTTTTTCCAAAATTTAGAGAATTGTCACGATTTGATTTTTTGATGCTCAAGACAAAAGAATGACTTTTTTTATTAATGCTACTTACGTGATTTAGATTGTCAGAAAGTTTGCTTCAAAATAGTTAATACTGTATAAACATTGCCCTTTTGTTTTACTTATTTACTATTTCTTCATATTTCAGTATTTTAGACGTAGAAAAGTTCATATTACTTGTAATAACGCCAGTTGAAGTTTGTATTAGTTTAATTTTTGTATACACAACAAATATCGTCCATAAGGTAATATTAATGAGATACAACTAATTACATGATTGAACCTCATAAAATAAAAATAAATATAAACATTATTACATTTAACTAATAAAAAATTTCATTTACCATCTTCATAGGTTTGTGTGAATAAGAGATATATATGATGATCCATATTAAACATTCACAAAAGAATCTGCAATATTATTTTGTACTAAGCTTATTATTCAAATCTTTGCTTAAATAAACAATAGTATTTACTATAACATATATTTTTGAAATTGATAATCACATGCAACACACGTGTCAAAAACTAGTATATATATATATATATATATATATATATCTTTGCTTGAATGTCTAAAGCTTATCCATTCTCTCTCTCTAGCCCTTTCTAAAGGGAGTTGAGAACTATTGTCTTTGTTTCTATATAGTTGTCAAATATTTTTTAATTTGCTTTCTCTTTTTACTTATTATTTTCGACAAATCAAGAAAAGACAATTTATTTTTTTCTATTATACTTTTTATTTATTAAAACTGAGTTAATGTCTTTAAAAAAAATGTAGTGAGTAAATATATGTGGGATCCTATTAATTAATAAGGATGAAATGATAAACTTACTATATCAATAATTATTTTCTTAATAATTGTGCAAGTCAAAATTTAACAAGTAAAAAGTAGCCGAAGAAGTATTGATTTGTTTAGTTATTTTGAATATTATCAACTTTTCGAGGTCGATTTTTATAAATACAAAAATGCAAAATATCAATACTTGGAGTTATTTTTTGTAGAAAAAAAGAAAAAGAAAATTTGCAAATAAATTGAATCTGAAGAGTATAAATAAAAGACAATTCTTAAAAACCAATAAAATCCACTGATTTAGTAGTGGTACTACGCAAAGTATTGTATTGTATACTTGTATTGTATCTGTATTGTTTTTAATGTATATAATATTTGAACAGATTATATCGTTCTTTGTCATTAAATAATATCACGACTCATAATTTGAATGATAAACCTAAAAGAAAAGTAGGAATATGTAGCTACCATGAAAAGGTAGAATAAAAGATAAAACATTGTAATTATTTAAATAATGATTAAAGATAAAGTGAAAAGAAAATATTAAGGTAATTAACAATCCAATCACACCAAATCGGTCATTACATAAAATGAGCCTTTTCATCGTTACCGAACAATATATTTAAACAATGCGATACAATAGAATATAAATTATGTAATAATCAAAACAAACATTATATTTAAACTAACAATACAATATGATAAATTTAGTCTTTGTTCAAATTGAGATAAAGATAACACTATACAATACGTAGCTAATATGTTGTCTCGTCAATTAATACGGCGATTAAACTTATGTTTACTTTGATTAAGACAAAAGTCAGCATTCTTAAGCTAATTATAATTAACAAATGGACAAAAATTACACATCATAATCTTGACTAGGAAATGATTATGATCCGTTTTAGTTTTTTAAAAAATAATTCTATAAGAAATCGGGTAAAAATTAATCATTTTTCATTTTTTGAAATTGAAAAGAAAAGGCGATATTCTAGAGTTTTAAATTAATAAGTGAAATTTGAGGATATTATATTAAAGTTTTCACTTGTGAAATTTGAAACGTATGTCAAGATATTATTATTTTTTAAGAAAACAAAGTTAATTGCCAAGTGAGCGCTATTTCTGCACAAAAATATCTAGTGATTTGTAAAAAATAAATAAATTGTATACGTGAATAAAAAAAATATTTATAATGAATCCTAAATAGAT